TCTTTGGTTTTCACTAAAAAACCGTCGAACCTCTGTCCGGATTCCGAGAGAATGGCCGATTTCGCTCAAGAAGAGGGTCTTTTTTATGATGATTATCAAACGGTACGAACTCATTTTTCCCAATTGTTGTTGTTGTTATAATGACTTATTTAATTTATATACTAATGATTTATGTTATTGTTATGCTATCGTAGGTTGGGCCGGATGTTGATATTTTCAATCAACGATATTACGTTGATCAAGGACCGATCGATCCGACAGTTTTATACGATCAAGCAAATCATCGTTCAAGAGACGTTTGGAACGACCATAAGGTACATATTATTTATCATCACTTGTAATTTGTATTTTGTTAAAGTAATTTATTTGTTGTACAATAATTTACATAATTGTTAATCGTATTGATTATTTTCAATAGTTTAAATCAATACAATACAACACTTATTGAGACTCTTTATAAAGAAATGCATGTCTAAGGAAATGGGGACTTAAGCGATCATCATGATCCCCCCATGACCTGGGAAAATCGGGTTCTAAGCGATCCTCGGATCCCCCCTTTTTCTGTCAAAAAGACTGTGTTTCTAAGGAGATGTATACCTCTCCTAAGAGTCTTACGAGTGTACTTGTATTGCTTTAAATTATTGAAAATAATCAATACGATTAACAAAATAATTTTTATGTTAGTAACTTGTATATATTCTATTAATGTTTATTAGATAATGTATATTCTATAAAATCGCTTAATTTAATATTGCATCTTAAAAAATTGGTTTAGTTATGTTAATTAGATAATGTATATTTCTATAAAATCGCTTGATTTAATTAATATTGCATCTTATTAAATTATTTTAGTTATGTTAAAATTAATGTTTATTAGATAATGTATATTTCTCTAAAAAAACCTTGATTTATATATAAATTGTATCTTATAATATATTTATATATGTATAAATCATCAATTTATAGTGAAATTTAATTTTTTCTCTAGGATGCATACCATATAGTCCGCTATAGGGGCACAACGAATGTGCTTGAATGGAACGACGTCATCTTGCCCTTTCTAAAAAGGGCAAGATTGGATTCGATTAGGCATTTCAACGGAATTAAGATCGACCGCCAACTCATCACGGCGATGGTAGAGAGATGGCGAAAGGAGACACACTGCTTCAATTTTCGTGAAGGCGAGTGCACGATCACACTTAAGGACATCGCCATCCTAACCGATCTCCCCATCGATGGTGATGTTGTTTGTGTGGACTCTACGCCACCACCTAAAGTTGTTGCCAATATGAGTGGTTGGCAACATTTTATATGGTCGGTCACCGGGTTGTGTCCGCCAGAAAAGGGAGATCACGATGCGGATGGTCATCCACCATTGTCCAAGGGCCAAGTATCCATCACGTGGTTGACGGCGGAGATCAGGCGTAAGCACAACCCTGAGTTCGGAGGCATTCCCCTCACGGAGGAAAGTTCGGAGCGCGATAAAGAAATTTATGCACGGATCTACATCCTCGGCATGATCGGAGGAGTTTTCTTCCCCAAGAAATCCAACAACCTAATCAGCAATTCATGGTTGAAGATCATACTTGGTAGTTGGGATGATATGGGAAACTTGAGCTGGGCATCTGCTTGCTTAGCCCAGCTCTACCGATCCCTATGTAATGCTAGTGCGAGAGCGGTGAAGGAGATTGATGGGGCAATGTTCATCGTCCAATTTTGGGCTTGGGAGCATTTGGAATGGATTGCGCCGAAGGTAGACCCCGACAAGGATTGGGGACCCGATCATCCCCTACGACACGAAGCTTATGGTTGTAGGTAAATATCTGCATCGAACCCATAGTTCTCACATTTTTTAACTAATTTAGTTTGTTGTAACGAGCTATTTTTTTAAGGTACTAACATTGTGAACTTGTCCATATTAATAGGTGGCTTGATGAAACAACATGCGACAATCTTGGAGCGCATAAGTTGGAGGAGTATCGTAGGAGGCTTGATCACCTATGGGAAGCAGAGGTGAGCATCATAATACGCTATTAAAACCCTACTTTTTTTAACTTATATTATTATGTTGCTATTAAACATGTGTGTGTGTTCACCGCACGGGATATGACCCAATGACCGACTCTCTTGCTCCTGATGGCCCGGACCCTAGCTGTGCATCCCTCATTGTGGTTTCTGCATCGAACCATCAGCCTCTTTGTGTCGGAATGGGTTGTCTGCCATTCAAAACTCCGAGTCATTGCTTCAGCTTCAATAGCGTGTCGAACCTCATTCTTCGTTGCAAATTGTTGCCCCTTCGTAAAGCCAGTTAGTGGACCCCATAATGGCACATCTGGCGGGTCCATGTCGGCATCAACATACCAATCTTCACTTTGAAGTTGATTGTAGTATGGAATAGGTACACGGTCGTGAGGTACCTCATCACCATCTGCGTCTGAATCTGGACCGGAATCATCAGCACCTTCCAGCGGATCGGAGCTGTCTGCACTAACTTCGCCTTCCTCTTCTTCAACCTCATGGTCACTAACTGGACTTGGATTGACCTCTTCTTCCATCTGATTTTCAGCATGAAAGGCACCTTGACCTCCACTAGCTCCGTAATGGTAGTTGTGGTAACTAACACCGCTTTGATAGAAGTTGTACTCGGGTGGGTACTGGTAGACTGCTTGTTGGTTGTAATCCGCCTGTTGAGCTTCTTGTTCATAGGAATGGAAGGATTGATGACTTCCTCCAGTTCCATGATGATACTCCTGACTCCAACTCGAGGTTTGGAAATCCTGGTGGGGAGTATCTTCGTATAATACACTCCCACCGTGGATACCAGATGTTTGGCCATCTCCAGAATGACCTACACTGCCTTCGACGGCCTCGGTGTAAACGAACATCTCCGCTTGCTTAATTGTATTGGTGGTCAAAAATTGGACCATGGCATCAACGTCCTCCTGAGTGTTAAGGAGGAATTCCTCATGCCACAGGGACCCGTGATGTCTGTTTGGATATCGATACACCATTCGATCAACTCTTCTACTGCCATCCATGCAGGTAATCTGAGTGCACTGACGGTGGAGCTCTTCAAGCATCGGTCTCGTACGGACCTTCATTTTATGAAAATTGCCACCGACGTAACTTACACCCTTTTCGGTCTCTTCCGTGTAACCATTCCACCGCAACCCAAGCGTGAACCTTTGGAATGCCATCTGCAATGAAAAGTAACACAAGTTACTAACATAACAACACAAAGAAAAATGAAAAGTAATTCAAATTACTAACATAAAATCACAAATGACAATGAAAAGTAACACAAGTTACTAACATAAAAATTATTTTGTTAATCGTATTGATTATTTTCAATAATTTAAAGCAATACAAGTACACTCGTAAGACTCTTAGGAGAGGTATACATCTCCTTAGAAACACAGTCTTTTTGACAGAAAAAGGGGGGATCCGAGGATCGCTTAGAACCCGATTTTCCCAGGTCATGGGGGGATCATGATGATCGCTTAAGTCCCCATTTCCTTAGACATGCATTTCTTTATAAAGAGTCTCAATAAGTGTTGTATTGTATTGATTTAAACTATTGAAAATAATCAATACGATTAACAATTATGTAAATTATTGTACAACAAATATACATTATCTAATAAACAAAGGACAATGAAAAGTAATTCAAATTACTAACATAAAATCACAAATGACAATGAAAAGTAATTAAGTTACTAACATAACATCATAAAGGACAATCAAACGTAATTAAGTTACTAACATAAAATCACAAAGACAATGAAAAGTAATTACGAAACAAACTTACGAATTAACGTTAATCGCAAAAACTAAATAATTTAAAGGTGCAAAGCTGAAATTTGAGGATTTTTGTGTGAATTGAGGAAGGAAGTGTGAAGAATTGTGTTCTCCGAAACAGCCTTTTATAGGCAAATTTTGCACCAAAACCGCTTGGGGGGGGAGCGGTTTTGGGTCTGCCATGCAGCCCTACCCCTGCATGCCGACATGTCGGATGTCGGGTGACCAGGCACAAACCGCGCCCCAGGGGAGCGGTTTGTGTCCTGACAATGTAAACCGCCCCTTCCCCAGGCGGTTTGCATGCCGACAATAAACCGCTCCCCCTACCAGCGTTTTCTGGTAGGGTTTACCCTATAACCGCGCCTCGCACAAGCGGTTTAGTCCAGGAAATGAAAACGCTCCTCCGAGGAGCGGTTAGAATGAAAAACGCCTCTTAGAGGCGCGGTTTCATTGAAAACCGCTCTACAGGGGGGCGGTTTTAAATTAAGGGTGGTATTTTTGGAAATTCTTTGGAGCGAGTGGTATTTTTGTAATTTTTTTTTTAAACAGTGGTAGTTTTGGATTTTTTCCAATTTTTTTGGCCTTACATTATGTTGCCTAAACTTTTCAAGTTTTACAAATAGGTCCAATTTTTGTATGTGTAGTTAAAACACCCTCAAGTAAATGGATATCCATATCTAATCCATACCCATTTAGATTATGAAAGCAATATCTATACCTAACTCAAACCCATCTACACCTCGCCATACCCTACCCATAATGAATGGGTCTACTTGGATTTGGGCAAAATTACCCATGGGTGGGTAAATTGTCATCCTTAGTTATGATATCAATTTCATGACCTCTTGGATTTCAATAATTCAAGTTAGGGTATTATGGATCTTATATCACTCTCTTACACTCCCCTCAAACAAAAGCCACCATATATGGACTTGAAGCTTACACACGTCCAAATACCATGTGCTTAACTGAGGAGGTCATTAAGATTCAAACAGAATACCTATCGATTACAGAAAGCTCAAATACAATCTAAAAAATTATTTGATCACAATAACTCGAGTTGTTAGGAAATGTTCATGTATGGTACTTATCCACTGCACGTCCTCTCAAACGAAAGTCAATTCATGGGAGATTGAAGATTGTACAAGTTCGAATACCATGTTCTTTAAGACTACTGTTAATATTTGAATATCCACCTTCCAAAAATTTCTTCTTGAATTTTTTTTTTTTATAATGAAGAAATTGAACCTATATGCACATAAAGTTGATAATAGTATGTGACATAACACGACACCACTGATCTAGTATACTCAGATCGTTACAACTTACAACAACTTTGAACCTCTATAGATTAATATGGGATTTGGGATCAAATTCCTTGCATTCTCAATGGTTTAGGACACATAACTCAGAAGCGATGATTAAGAAGCATTCCGACTAACAACAAAAGAACATCCAAGTCGAATATGTGCCCTCAGTATGCAGAAAGAAAATGGCTACATCAGAAGGCTACAGTTACAGACTTCAGGACTCCAGATCACCGGGGGTATACTTGGTCACTTCAGGACTCCAGATCACCGGGAAATGGGGACTCCTAGAATCAGAACAATTTCAAAGATTAATCTCCGGTTGGAAGGTTGTTCCCTTGGCCAGTTCCTCTAGTTTTTTAACTATACTCCGGGCAGCTTCACAATAGGCTTGCGAGACACCAGAATCAGGTGATGATATTACAATAGGGGTACCATTATCGGAGCACGTCCTGATATCAACTTCAATTGGGATCTGGAAACCAGAGGAGAAAAAGATGTCAGTGAGTTTCACAGACCTACTTTACTTGCCAACTGCTCTGTACTACGCCTGTGCGAAAATTCACAATACACCCTACCTCGCCAATGAAATGGTGACCCATTGAATCAGCAGTCTTTCGAGTTCCGCCTTTACCGAAAATGTATGAAGGTTCACCACAATGTGGACACTTGAAGCAACTCATGTTCTCTATGAACCCTAGAATCTGCATGGAGAATAATGACTCCAATCATTAATCCCTTTATGTTTCAAACATGTATGATGTATCAGCTCAAAATACCACATATTAATGGTGCTTTCTATTAAACATGCATCGGCTCCAACCTCCTTGATGCTTCAACATTTATGGCCCGCAAGAATTACACGTTGCTTTGATTAAATATGTTACTCCAAAGTTCATAGTTTCAGGAGATATTATTTTCCCAAGAACTGGTACTGCTAACTAGAATGGCAACATCTACATCACGCCGGTGACTGAAATTAAACATCTTTGGACTTCAAAAGAACTAAAGGACATACCGGAACCTCGACTTTGGAGAACATTTTAACTCCTCTTCGAGCATCCAGTAATGCAACATCTTGTGGAGTTGAAATAATTACTGCACCTGCAAGCAGACAAGAGAACAGCTATGCCAGCATTATTACTATATTTGTGCCAATTATAAAGCTATAATGCTAATCTCGAGCAAATAAGTTTCCGTAAATCAAAGTGCACTGCCTATTCGCCTTCACAAACCTGATAACTGCAAGCTTTGAGTTATAGTAAGCTGAGCATCGCCAGTGCCAGGGGGCATGTCTACCACGAGAATATCAAGCTTTCCCCAACTGACTCCCCTAGTCATTTTCTCGAGAGCACTCATCACCTGCAACAGAGACCAACCTTAGAACCCACATTTACCATTTGAAGAACCACTCTAAGCGTGTTATCAAAAATTTACAGGTGACATTAGTAATAAGCACCAGACTGCGTGGAAGTTTTTTAAGCAAAAATAATGAAGTGAGACTGACTTACCATGGGGCCTCTCCACACAATGGGGGCATCCTGCTCTACAAGAAATCCCATTGACATGCACCTAACTCCATAGTTCTCAATAGGAATCATCTTTTTGTCTGTTGAAAGAAGTTAAAATAAGATGTGAGTTGGTTCAGGGCTATCATTTGTGCAACTAAAAAAACAATCAGCCAAAGCAGAAGAAAGGATGTTACTATATCAACTTCATCTCCCACTTGATCTTCAATTTACAAAACTAGAATACTGTGGAAAGAATAATATTTTCTTAATAAAATTCAGAAACACAAAGTTGTTGTAGACAGTTATATTTAGGCAGTTCTAATAAGCATTTACTCAGTTAAGTTTTCCTTGATAGAGTTATGGTCATTGTTACCTTCCATTAGCACTGGTTTAGTCATTCATGCTAATAGGCTTTTTCCTCTCAACGGCTTACACAATTTAGAAGGATATTGCATTGTTTGCTCACCTTCTTCAGTTAATATAATCAGTGCCTCTATTGTTGCCTTTTTCTGTGGAATTATAACTCTCTTTTCTTTCTAGCCTGTCTCTTCCATGCTTGAATCTGCCATGCAAGTAGAGTAGGTTAAGAAAGAACCGGGAAGAAAGTTAGGACTACAGACCGGTAGTGAGATTCCCTAATTATGCTATGCTATCCAGAGTATCCCGAAGTAACGAAATTGGCTACCTCAAAGCCTCAACCCAAGGCTTTCATGTAACAGATTGTTTAACTACATAATACTTACATCACATAACATCTTAGTACCCTTTGCTCCAAGTATTCTGTGTATCCGGAGTATTACCTTCAGTGATATCCGGCTTGCGGTCGATCTTCATCATCATAGGCACAGATGGCCCATAGACATCAGCATCAAGCAAACCCACCTTCAAATTGTATTTGTTAGCCAAGGCAACAGCCAAGTTTACTGCAGAAGACAACCGCTATTCACATCAGAGCAATTGATGAAATCAAAGGGAATACATGTAAACAGTCACTTACACTCAATTAACTGAATCTAGCTTTTGGAAAACTAACATTTTCATAGCTCATGCAATCACTTAAAAGATTTCTAAGTAAGCACTTCAAATTCTAAAGCAATGAAGAATAAGGAATATAATATCCCACCAGATTGTCCTTTTCAAAGCACATTGGAAAAAACCTTAGCAGTCCCAAATCTACCCGAGCTAGGTTTATCAAAGGCCAAGAGGAAAGCAGGAAATTACCAGCAGTGGTGGACTTGCCCACACCTCCTTTCCCAGAAGCAACAGCAATAACATCCTTCACGCCATCAAGCTGCAGCTTTGATCTGGCAAAAGGGCCAGCGTAGCGCCTGATACTGCCGAGTCGCTGAAGAGAGATCGAGTCCTTTGAGTTAAAGCTGGAAACAAGTCTCTCGGTAGGAAGCATCGAGTCTTCAAGGTTCCATGAAAGAGCTGTCAGGGGAAATAATCAAGTAAATAAGAAAAAACACCCTTTATACTCATGTTTTGTTCAATCATGGAATTTTGCAGTAAAGGCAGATGCAGTTATATCCGTTACACATGTGGGCTTGTTTGAAGTGTTTGATTCCCTTATCTAAAGGTAAAAACATATTTACTTGATCTATTAGTAACAGTATTTACTTCAATAAGGCTTGGCAAGCTATCGGTACCACAACATCCTAACAAGTGTTTCCTAATCCAAGCCCTTCAACAATCACCTTTCCTCATCACTTCTGCACAATAGCACTACCTTGTGCTGATAACGTTGAAGCAGGTTGTAGTTCAAGTGGATAATATCTCTATTCGGGTCAACTACCATGGTTTACTTTGAAGATAATATGAGTTCACGTATGATATCATATCATGCATTCGATAGGCAGTATGAACTTCACTAGGAATACACAAGTAAAGGAGGTGAAAGAAAGGATAAGCAGACATTCCCACATACTACTGCTGCACACACACACACAAAAAGCTATCTTGCAAAGCCAACAAGTAATGCAATAACTACGATCAAGCAAAATGACAGCCAAGCCAAATAGAGCAACCACTGGAAAAACCCAGAGAAAAAGAAAATACCTCTCTTAGTGGCATTCAAAGACGCTTGCCAGAGTGATCGAAACCTAGCCATCCCTGCTGCCGCAGCTGAAACTGTAAAATTAGCCAAAAAGAACCGAATAAAAACCACCCATAAGTTAGTGCGAACCTAACGATACATCATGGACTACAATGATTGAAACGGGAAGAGCCTCGTCAATTGAAATATCGGCTATCAGCTTAGTACCAATTCAGAATAATGGAAGGCGAGCTGGAAATGATATGAAACGGTAGGTGAATACTCGAAAGAACGGGACTCACTTGATAGAACAGTAGCTGAGAGGAAACGGTGTCACGCTGCTACAGCTGAGAGAAGAAGAAGCACGTGTTCAATGGCGGTGGTTTTCTGCCGGAGCGGAAGGTGCGAGATTGTGGTTGTTTACTTTCCCACGGCCGGCCAGGGCAAGCTGAGCAGGAGAACGGTCGCTTGGAAGGTTGGAACGGAATTAGACCGAGTGAGTTTGAGGAACGAGTTTGAAGGTCCGAGTTGAAGTGGGCTGTCGGCCCGTGAGCGCCAATTGGGCCGTTATTCGTTTAGTCTCAACTGGCGGGAGGTTTGATTTTGACGGGTGGGTTCTCACTTCACATATTTGGGCTTTTCAGGTTCAACAGTCGCAGCCCATTATTATTTTTTTTTACGAGGAAAAGGAACCTACACATGTACAAAGAAAAAGAATTGATAATAGTATGCTGTATGTGACAAAAGACCTATGATCTAGTAATACTCGGAGCCGGCGTCGCACTAATTTCGGAGCGTCAACCCGCGGGTTGATCCGGACTCGGTCGAGTTAGTGGGTCGAGGGTTAATGGGTCAACCGTTTTAGCCCGGTTTGGCCCGAAAATATAGAAAGAGTCATTATATTGTACTTATCCTCATAAATTATATCAAATCTTATCTAACATATGAGTTATAGCATATAATATTACACCAAAATAACATATCGTACTTAGATCCAACATATAGTGAAAATTCACACACACTTATATAACATAAATATTCAAATGTTCAACTTAGTATTCCATAGATTGAGTTAGGCGAAAAGAAAAATTGTAAAATAGGCGCATTTCGCAAACTAAAGAAAAAAATGACACAATTTGACCTCCAACCCGGTACCTAATAGCGGTCGGCCCGGTGGGTGCGTGCGGCCCGTTTTTCTTACCGGGTCAGGGTCAAATTGGGTCGACTCGTTGGTCAACCGCGGGTTGACAACCTTGTTTCGGAGTGATTGGTTTGCATCTTGATAAGTTTGTATTAACCTTTTTTCTCACCATTTGAACGCTTGTAAGAATTGATCACTCTCGGCACTTGATAATAAGAAAAATCGGATTATTTCTCGATGCCTGCACCAGTAATTACAATAAACTAAAGAAACAAATCGAGTTGCTTTGGGTTGGTGGCTAATGGGGTCCTTTCTCATTGCTCTTGAGATGGCCTTTTGCTTGGGTCCTTCTTAAGTGTTGTTAAGGAATGGCAATTGCCAAAGTAGTAGTGGACTGGATCGTACCACGTCGATGGCCACATATCGAGCTAATGGATTGGGTTCTGTTCTACTACCATGAATGTAGTCTGTTTCAGTGGCTTCTTTCTTTCTTTCTTTCTTTCTTTCTTTCTTTCTGAGTCCAGTCCGACATTGGTTTGGTGGGATATAGTAGCTGGGTAGAGACAATCTATGGGGATATAAGCACAAAATCCAAGGCGGTAGGGGAGATGTACAACCCAATTATGGCTCTCTCTCTCAGGAAATTATCTTGAAATTTACTTGATTGGCAGAGGCCAGGAAGGAAACCCATTAATTGTCGCTGAATGAGGATGATAATAATGCAGTAGATGGAGGGCAGGAAGATCTTACTTCAACAATCCCCAAAAATATGGGATGGGGGAAAAGGGAGGCGTGCAGAGAGAGCAGAGCAGAGCCGGTGCCTAAACTTTCCCAGCTGTTTCGATTTCGAGCTAGAAGTTGGAAATTATTTTAACACTACTTCAATGGTTCATTGGCTTGTAATACCATTGATTAGTTATATTGATGACTAATGGAGAAGACTTTCTTGTCTGAAGTTTTCTCTAATAATATGTCTCTCTATACTATAGTAGAGTAATTACTAGGGTAAATACAATTTAATATCCAAACCTTTCATTTTAAACAATATAATAGCCAAACCTTTTCGAAAACAATCTAATATCCAAATCGTCAACTTTCCGTCCGTTTGACCGTTAGTTGACACTACCATCAACATATCGATATCTTCTCTGAAAACCATCAACATACCGTGGTTCCAAACTCGAGAAGTCCATGACTCCACCATGATGGTATAGAATATCTAAATATTCAGTCATCTGCAATGCCAAAACAAGAAAACAAAGTTGTATTGTGACAATTTCCCCTAAATAAACGGACGGAAAGTTGACGATTTGGATATTAGATTGTTTTCGAAAAGGTTTGGCTATTATATTGTTTAAAATGAAAGGTTTGGATATTAAATTGTATTAACCCTAATTACTATAATTTTTAAAATTGCTGAGTATTTGATAAGGTACGTCGAAACTAATAATTCATAACTAGCTAATGCTGGGGTTACGAAGTAATGATTTGATGTATGCATTACTCCAAGTTAGTGGTCCTCTTAGGAAATAATTATACTCAAGGTCCTGTGAACCCAAACAAGAAGTAAATTTCGTTGCCCTAAAAAATGTATTGTTGATTACACATGTTATAAATTCTGTCTTCTTTTTATCGCAACAATCGAAAGCTACTACTTTACCCGATAATAATTATAAAAAAAAAGACATCACTTCATGTACCTCTCTATTGAAAAGGCCACCACAACATTATGGCTTTTTTTCTTTTTTCTTACAAAAGAGCTCAAGATTATCTTGACTTTCTATATCATAATTAGATGGTGTGGGAGATATTTTGTATGATAAGTCTAGGGTTAATTGTACGGGATGTCACTTAAGTTTTAGACTTGTTGCATGTTAACCACGGAAGTAATATTTGTTGTAACTAGACCACGTTACTCTATTTTCTGTTGCATAATCATTTTCTCCGTCCAAAATTTAACGATGGGTATGTAAATGTAATTATTCATGACACGTAGACAATCCTAATCGGTCTGAATTGTTGAGAAATTTCCACCGTCGCTGTAACCCACAACCACCGTTGGCTCTCTTCTCCGACAATGCCACACAAATATACTTTTGTTTAAGCCAATATGTTGTCCTTAGCACCATTGTAATTGCAGGATCAAAGGAGCTAAATTATTACTATTAGGTGGAAGACCGCAAATAATGAAGACAAATATATTATCAACCAATCGTTTGCTTGGACAACTCACGAATGGAGGGAATTGATGCTTAAGCTTTGGATTAACAAAACATCTCGTCTTGTTTACAATTTCAGTGCTTAGTTCGCTTTGCTTCACTCTGTTTTTTTTTTGTAATGGTGATCGCATTAGTATTAATTAAACACAACAAAATACAAAAGCTAGAGAGAAAAACAGGACAGCAACAGAGGTGTTGGGAGAAGCCAGCAGCCCCAAATCAAAAGAACCAATCCTCTATAGATCCTACCAAGGCTTACATCCAACTGTGATACAAGTCGAAATCCATTCAACTGCTCTCCATTCACCCAGCCAAGACAAAAGAAACTAAAACAAATTTACTCTGTTTTTACTCATAGAAAACAGAGACTAACCGGCTAGCTTTGCCTTTGTGTTTTTTTCAGGGGCCAGAGTTGAAGCGTCCAACAAAACAGTCTATCCATTTCTCTTGAACTAGATTCATTCACAAATACTAAATCTAGCGCCGAAAGCTCTCCGATTCAACCATGAAAATGACAAAGACCTATGTTATTCAATACTTTCTTTGGAAATTGCTCTTCTTCATTCTCTTCCTCTTGCCCACTATCTTCGTCTGCAATTTCTTCAAGTTTGTCCCAAATAGGAAGCAATCCGCCTCAAGCTTAAAGTAGAGGATTCATTCACGGTGTTAATGACATCGTCCTCTCATCCAAAGACATTCGCTAATTACATTATTCTCTTCCAGATTTGGACCCGAGTTTGAATTCCGGGCAACCGCTCACATGCTTTACCTCCAAGTTCTTGGCTTCTTGCTAAATGAATAGTGTAAACTTTTGAAGGGATCGTCGTTGGATGGTGCGCATTGGCGAATGATGACACAACGACAACTCTGCTTAGTTGGATTGCCCACGTGGCAGGAATAATTACGTTTTCATACCCGCCGTTAAGTCTTGGGACGGAAAAGATAACGTTGTAACAAAAGTTAGAGTTAAGTGGTTTAGTTGCAACAAATATTACTTTAATGGTGAACGTGCAACCAATATAGAACTTAAGTGACACCTTGTGCAATTAACCCGATAAGTCTACATTAAAGATCTTCTTTTAGATTGAACTTTACAAAAAACATGTAATAAAATTATACAGGCACTAAAATGTTTATTTCCTGCTCCAAAGGGGGGAAGAAAGAAATAAAGATAGCTACTTGCCTAGTTGGAAAGATGATAGGGATGGAACTAAGTTGGGTTTGGGCTTTGGCCCCCCACCAACAACCTCATGATGACCAACCAAGATTTGTTGGTTTATGCATTAACCCTCTACTTAATTATATGTTTGAACTTGATGAGGAGGAGGATGAGGCTTACTCATAATAATACTCATTAATTCATTGTATAATGTCTTTGTCAACAAGCCAAAGCTGCTTTGCCTACCTTTACATCATAACTAATACATTTAAAAATTAGAACATACATTACCAACCACCAGCATATAATAACCACCCAATTTGCCATCATCCTCATCATGCATGCTCATCAATCACCACCTAATGTCTAGTGTATTTGTTTATGTTATGGATTAGCTCTTAATCTTGTCCCATCCTCCCCTTTTGTTCCTACTTTATTCCACCCCTGGAAAAAAAAAAATACAGAGCACTTCTAACAACCCAAATCATTAGTCTAAAACTTTTTCTCCAACATAGCAAATACCTACTAGCTAGCTAGTCTTCTGTTCCAAAAACTAGTATCCTTCCAAGTTACATGGATATCTAGAATAGTGGCGCGAAACTACGTTATGGCATAAAGGGGCTACGAATCACTCCTTAATCTAAAATATAGAGCTAGAAAAGTATGAAAGAAATTCGAGAAATAAAACATTTATAAGTAAGTTATTATTGGCTCATCCTGTCCAGCAAGTTACTATGGTAGAAATCTTTTGGGATTTAAATTTGTTGGCTCCTCCCCCACTCAAATTTCTAATTATGCAATTGATCAATGATGAAATTATAGCGCATGAGTAGGCAAGTACCACAAGTGGCAGTATTATGTTCTTGTACAGATGCTACCATGTAATTTTCTAAAATGACATTCCGTATCATAGTCTAGAATTTATGTATTTCCAGTATCAGTGTTAAAGTTATTACGAAACTTAGTCATCAAATCCTGTTGAGTTATCAATTATAAAATACATCAAATCTCTCCATTAAATTCTGGTTTATTAACATATGGCCACATGCCTTTTCATCGTGAAAATAAAATCGTTCTAATTGCTCTCTAATAGAAGGTAAAAATGAGCTTATGTTTAAAACAAGACGAGGGAGTGAATACCGATAAAAGACAAGATATACAAGTCTCTCTTAGCATGGGAACAAAATAACATGGAATTAGCTAGACACAATTAGGTAACTAGGAATGGGTGAAACATACGATGATAAGAAGAGACAATGAACGGACACAATAGTGCTAGGGACCATAACCATTTTGTTGGCACTAATCCAGAAAATAAGAAAGGAATCAGAGAGATGAGAGAAAGAACATAAATGTGGTACGTTTGAAAGGGAACGCAGTAGTTGCTACAGCAACAACAAAAACCAGAAAAGAGACCACGTCAAGCCGGTCCCCTGTTCTGTTCTCAGCCGTGTCGTGTCGCAGCCAATCTGCACAAACATTTCGGTTGAAGATCGAGCGATCGATCTTTTACTCCTCCACGATCTAGCCAGGCAAGACAGCTGTCGAGGCTGCGACTGAAACATATATACATTAGTTTTTTTGGGGTTTACAGAGAGACACCAATTTGTAAAGTAGTGGAAGCTGCTGCTAAGGTAGAGAAAGAGATGAGATGGCGTGCATGGATGGAGACTGTGTAAGCTTCGAACATGACAAAGGAACAGTGGTTTTTAAATGTGGGGTTATGGCGTATGGGACCATAAAGATAGAGAGGAAGAAACAATAAAGAAAGCAAGTTGTACCCTTGTACATTGTTTTTTTCGTACTAGAGATGCCATCACAAGCTGTACAAAAAATATGGTAGCAGAGTCATCAATTGAAAAGGATTTCTTGGAGGAGGGTCATGGGCAAACTTACTGGCAAAGGAAAGGAAAGCTTAGCAGGAGCAATAAGGGTTTTTGTCTGTTCAAATTCAAATATTATTATAGCTCGACCGCCATGGCATGCCAGCTCCAAAAACAGGGGCAGCATCCTCAAAGGGGAGGGACCCTTGTGCCCGTAATCAAAGGGTAGGTAGGTCTCTCAAATGGGTCTGCAAGCTAGGACGACTTTGAGTTCGTACAGAATGGTCACTTACCTTTTAGTTTTTTTTGGATCGATAACTTAGACTCCCAATTTTCTCTCGTAATAGGATGAAACTAGCATCAAATGTGGTAGAATTAGGGTGATATGATACGAATGTTAGCTATGTGAAATTGTGAATCATTGTATAACATTGTGCAAATAGATGATTACTTGATCTTTTTTGTTCTTACTAAAGTAGTATAATGTTAATGTTAAGATTGAACGTTGTCATTTTACTAAAGTTAGTGGTCATTTGTAAATAAATAATGATTTTGGAAACATAATTCATTCATGCACAACATGAAACAATCATGATTCTTCAGAAACTAACTGATAATGCTTACCACTAAAAATACATAGTGATCAATACTATTGACGACGACAGACCATTCAAACATTTACTTTTTTAACTAGTTGGAATTAATTTTAACTTCGCGTAATGAATGGTATAAGATCGAATTATTAAATGTCTAACTCTTACAAAGGACATACAAGTTAGTTGATCAAAATCCGTCAAAAATAGCTAGATTGAAGCTATTCATCAGAATATATGAAAAATGCAGATTAAGAACAGATCAGTACACAACACAAATAAAAAAAACTAATACAAGTCGGGATCATTTGTGCCCCCAAAGCCAAATGACCCAGAAAATTGAGAATCCAGCCAAAAGACAGAAAGAGGAGAAAAAGTTGGTTTTTTCCTCTCATCAATCACAACTACACTACCCATAATCCGCCAAACATTTCGATAACCTACTACTCAATTTACAATTTAAACATATAATAAAACCATATATGCTCTGTTTTTTCCCCCACTTTATTCCTCTGTTATCATCAGCAAATCCCAGCTAGCAGCAATAGAAATCCACCAGCTCCTCCATTGACCCGAACTGCGAGGACGACGAGGAATCCTTGTCCCCTCCGCCATTGATCTGGTCGTTGATCATCCAAAGCAAATGCTCGAACAGGACCACCTCGCTCCTGACGATGATCTGGCCGTCGGCGTCCACCCCGCCGGACCTCTGCATCAGCTCCTGGAACATGGGATGGCACATCACCTCCGTCGTCAAGAGATACCGCCGCCGTGAATTCCCGACGTAGACGGAGTGAAGAATCTGCTGCGGCTCGTCAGACTCCGCCGCCGCCGCCGCCGACTCATCGTGCTGCTGCTCGTCGTGGTGGTGGTGGGTCTGCTTTGCGGCGGAGAAAGACGGCCACTTCTTGATTGCTGATTTCAGCTTCGTCAGCTTCCCTACTTTCGCCATCGAAACGTTTCTTTCTGGTTTTGGAGGAGGAGGAGAAGAGTTTTGAATGAAATTGTTGAGAGGGAGGTGGGGAATGGAAAGGAGGCAGGGGAAGGTTCACATTTATATGATTTTGCGCTGCTTTTTACGGTGTTACGTTTTTTTTTTTTTAAGTAATAAAAAAAAAGTGGGTTTGGATGGATGTGAAGAGTGGGCCCGGATTTGGGAAGGCTGGCTGGCTCGTGGATTGGGAGGCCAGGCCCACTGTTTTGGTGCAGTGCAAACCAGCTAATAAGACTAAGGCTAGTGCGGAGAGCGTTTTGGGATACCGTTTTAAAGGGAAACCAAATTGCGTCGTCCGACATTGCAATTTGGCACACGTACACTACTACAGTTGGTTTCTACTTTGTACGTGTTTCTTGCTCGTTTGTGGCGAAATCAGAAATTAGAGTAAGGTGATAGAAACAAAAACAAAATTGATGTTGGATTCGATGGACTAAAATTAGATTTTAGAAGAAGGATGGTTGATAGCTCACATCTTGTTACTTCCCATCTTTTGTTCAATAGTTATAACCAGTGGCGGAGGCAGTATTTTAAACCACTTCTGTCATCTTTTTATAACTTTAATATATAAGTATCTAATTAAGAACTATTTAATAAAAAATAATTAAAATTAATTATACAAAATAATTCGTTTATAGATTAAAAATAACCGACTATACAATCATAGTTTTCAGAACAACGACGAAGGAATTTCATATTGTGAAAGAAACGCAAAAATATTCGTTGTATACACACTATTAAATAAGTCTCTTTCAGTGTATCTCACTAAACAAGCATTAGCAAACTGGTCGCCAAATCGACTTGTAAACTTGTTCTTGATATAACATAAAGCTGAAAATGCTCTTTTTACACTTGTAGTTCTAGTTGGTAGAATCAAAACTAGTGAAATTGTCGTTGTCGCTAGACAATTTCAGGATTGTAGGGGATAAGATCGAATAGGCATAAGGAAAAAAGAGATCTAATTAGGTATTTGTTGCAATTGGAATTTCGTTTATAGTATAATAAATTAATTTCATGTCAACTTTTGAACAAACAATGAATTGTGTTGTAGTGACAAAATACTGTAATACTACTTATAGATATTGTGTTCCATCACCAATTTAAATATATGGCGTATTTTTGTTTCTTCGAAATTTACCCCTGTCCCGTGACAAGGCCCAAAGGGCCTGTCTCCGCCACTGGTTATAACGTTATGCTGAATAACGAAAAAGTTGTTGTATTCCTTCTCGAACTATGCATTCACTCGTTGCCACTGCGGTCAAGTTTTAGGGTATTTGTGCCATTGACCATACTATAGTTTACCAAGTTTTATCCACCTTCTGACCAACAATGTAGTAAGATCATTTCATATTCCGCACAAACTAGAACGTGCATTTTGAAATCCAACTCGTACTTATAATTTCGGGTCGGTTATTCTGACCAACAAGATGCAAACGTATAATCGGTTAAGGTGGTCACAACACCATTTGTAGGGACATACAATCAAAGATTGGGGTTCTGCAAGACTGCAACTGCTTGATGGACGCGGTCGTAGTTTAATTAAGAATATGACACTACATTCATCCAACAACAACGGCCAACGCCCAATCAAATTAAACGATTACGGACGTTATACAAACGTCTTTACAAATGGTGTTGTCACCACCCTAGCCAGATTGGCAAAAGTGACTCGGAAGCTCTTAAGTATACTAATGATAATGGCAATAAAGAAATGGAGCATGCAAACTTAGCTTTCATAATAGCAATTTTAGTGGTTAATGGAAACCGCCCAATTAATTAACATATTGATCATCAGGGGAAGGTGATTAAGACTAAACTACACACTTAGCATACAAGCCTCTTGTCTTATTGATATGTAATTCGGTACCTCCTGCTGGCTGCTGCTTACTTACGTTACACATACAGGTTGGAGTGCTTGCTACCCCATGTGATGAATGAATCTGTCAAATCCGCGCGCCATATTTACTGCCTAACCATCATTATCATCCAGCTTAGCTAGCTTCCAACCTCGTTAACCATCATAATTAACTCCACTCGTTGGATTTTAGGGGCCTTTTTAATCCCCCCTTTTTTTTGTATCTCTTTCACGATGTTCATCACGCTAGCTAGCTTTTGTGTGTCATTCAGCTGCATGAATAATTCTCTGCCTCTCCTTCACAAGAAAAACACACTTAAGTGGCATGTTCTATGTGCAAATTATTACCTTAAAAAGGAAAAGAAGTGACCTTTGTCAACTTGCTTGCATCATGGTAAGTATGTTGATGTTCTGTTGATTATGTCTATGTCATTAAAAAGATCTCAGCTTTTTTGCAGTCCTACTTGATAATCGGTGTGCAATTGGGTGGGTTGGATCATGGTTTGAGACAATCCTATTCGTAAAATACTCGAACTGTTGTGGGTGGGTAGTGGGTACGTAAATCACTATCTGCATTTATGTGGATCGGTGGTAAGTGGGTTGCTTGTCGCTCGAGTGACCCATATCCACGAGCGAAATTGGAAAATAAAATTATGGAGGATAAAAAGAATTACAATCAAAATAATAATATAGAGAAAATACTGATAGTTATCGATTATTTTAACCTTATAAAGTCATTGAACTCACTCAAAATAGTAGTAAACCTAATATTTCTAACACCTTCTCAATATAAAGTTTGAAGTATAAACAAGAAATTGATCATACATGTGTAGTAAATTCTTCAATGTTTTCATGGTTGTAAATACACATTTTTAAATAACGTTCCTATATTTTGGACAAAAATCCGATTTATTTATTTTTAATCATATACCCAAAATTATATCTATAAAATATAACAAACATAATATGATGTTCTATGTCTTCCAAAACCATTGAAAGTAAATAATTTGCATAAATTTATCATAATAATTAATAAGATAACGTTGTAAGTTGGAGGATCCCACTGAAAACTAAGGGGGTGAAACACTAAATACTCCTTAAAAACAATGAATTGTAATGTGGTGAGCTGGTGGCTGCGTACCTTTGAACTCAGGACTTGTTTATTGTTGGCAAATTTAATACAGTACATCAATATTTTTAACAATTAACACGCCACTCACCCAAATAAATATGAATAGGAACTAGGAAGAGATTTAACAATCATGATTCACTCATATCAATCACCTATCTCTCACAACAACACGAATTATTTATAAGCAGTAGTGTTAAATTGCGGTTGAACTTTTTTTTATTTTTTTTGTTAGCAACATGCATTAAAAAAAATTAGCTAGTTTGCCATTTGATTTCGGGTTTTTGCGATATAATTGGTTGGTATATAAGACCATAATTATGAGCGCAAGCAACAAGGCAAAACACAAGAGGTAGCACTAGCAACTAGCAAGCAAGAGCCAGCTGGTTGTTGCTATTGTTGGTTGGTCGGTGTATATAAACCTGCCGGCCACTTCGTTATATATCTTCGTTTATTGCATTGATAGATGGACACTCAAACCCTTAATTACATGTATATCCCCTAATGAAATCAAGTTGGAGTAGGTTATACAATTAAGCCCTCCCTTCAAAAAAGTACAGCAACGACCCTACTTAGCTAAAGCTTGAGGGATACATAATGCATAATTATCAAATTGGTGGTGGGTAGACAGTTTCATTTCATACGGTCAGTTCGACCGAAAAATCACCTATCAGAACTCAAACGAGTAGACAGTTTTAGCGCGGTAGAAACAGAATGAACCACGACCCTCATGCAATTACTATTTACAACCAATATTATTTGGTCAAAAAGGATAGGTTTGTAGTTGGAAGTGTTGATTGCTAGATAGCTGAAAACAGACCAGGGGGGACATCTCTAATAATACATATATATATCGTCTATGTTGTGGTCCTCTGTTCCCAATTGAAGACGGCTGACGCAGTAACAAGAGGCTCAATTGCCACACAGCCAACTACTGGTCCAGACTCCGGCCCAGTGCTGGAACACATTCATTGCTGTGTACGTAGTCTACTAGCAAGCTAGTAAGCGGCAAACGGCTGCCGCTGCCTTCCTATGTACAATTAGGGGTGACAGTCGGTCGGTTTCGGTTTAACCGAAAACCCAGTTATCGGTTAAACCGAGCCACCCCCTATAGCTGCCGACCACCGACCGTGAGGTGTGTCACGGTTAGCCGATCAACCGACCGGTCGGTTTTGGTTTAAGGCTCGATCGGTTAGCCGGCCAACCGGAAAATGTAGCTTTTCTAAAAAAATATATATATATATTATGCACCACTCACTCCTAACCCCTCTCACTTCTCGATTCTTCTTCTTCCTTTCTTCCAGAGAAACCCGCCGGCCGCCGCTAACCTATCTCTCTCCCTACTCTCTCTCGATTCTCTTCTTTCTTTCCAGAGAAACCCGCCGCCGCCGAGTATGCCTCCACGCCGCCGCCGCCGCCGAGTACGCCTCCACGCCGGCCCAGCTCCAGGCAATCGTCCACTACGCCACCTCCCGGACCACGCCGCAGCAAAAAATCGACGGGGAGGAAACGACGACGGCGGAACAGGCGGGGTCGCTGGTTGAGAGGGGTCAACCAAAAACCCAGAAAAGGGGTCTAAATCCCAGCAAAAACCCAGAAAATCAAACATGCAAAACCATAATCCGCCACTTACCATCGATCAGAAGGCATGGCGGAGAGGGAAGGAATGGTTTTAGGGTCTCTGGTTCGTTTCGTAGAGAGAACAGAGGAGAAGGAAGTAAATCGAGGGAGGAGGATTTCTGATTTCAGAAGGCATGGCGGAGAGGGAAGGAATGGTTTTGGGGTCTCTGGTTCGTTTCGTAGAGAGAACAGAGGAGAAAGAGGAAGGGGGAAGGGCTGGTCGGTGGTGAGAAGGGGGAGATGAAGGGAGGAGATGAAGTGGAAGCGGACGTTCTCGACGAGAAGGGGGAAGGGCTGGTCGGTGGTGAGAAGGGGGAAGGGTTGGTGGAGGTGACGAGGGGAGGAGGCTGTCGACTGATTTTGGGGAGGAGGCTGAGTCTTAGGGTTAGGGTTAGTGGGGGCGTGGGCGGCGTCGTTTAAGGGGGAAGGGCAGGGGTCGGTTAGCCGGTTAATCGTCGGTTTCCGACCCCGGTTGAAACCGACCGGTTAGCCGCTAACCGGAAAACCGTTCGCCAGCCCTATGTACAATACAACACATCTATCCACCTCTCTCTCTGTTTTTTTTTTGGTATGATTACACGACCATTCACTCGCACAAGTTAGTTTGGAAGAAAAAGAAAGGAGAATCAAACTAAACAAAGAAGAAGAAAAAAAAGACATCATTCTTGACTAGCTAGCTAGCTAGCTAGGCCTAGCAGCTAGGGATTTGATCGATATTATTGGCTCTGATCGAGCCCACATGCATAATGATGATGATCATGAATATTGCTCTAGCCCAGCCAGGTTTTGAAGCTGGAGAGCTCCATCATGTGCTATTGAAACAAAATCATCCTTGATTATTATTCATCGGAATTAATTAAAACAATGATAAGATCCTTGAAGATTTTGTAGTAGCTAGTGCATACTACGGGAGATAATCCTCACTGTTATATATATAACCTAGCAGCAGCTAATTGTTTTTGTTAGTGATATATTTTTTTCGTTTGGAATCAAATAATTATAAAGACCATTGTCTTGCTGCTAATAATAGGGCATAAATATTATTGTTCAGACAAGTTACAGTTAGTTCAGTATAAAGCTAAACATGTTAAATCCAGGTTTCAGATTTCCATGTCATGTATTATTGTAGGAAGGTAGACATATGCAAAGAGCATCTGAATTATGATGGTCTATGTAGATGGTGGTACGTATAGACATCACATTGTAGGCTATTTAGGGGAATCAATATCTTTGCATATCTTTGTCTAATATCCCCTCTACATATATTCTTGAAGAAATCGAAGAGAAATGATTGTTAAATCCTGGAGGCAGATTTCCAGGTCCATGTTTTTTTAAGATTCAGTCATTTCACGAGCCCATAAGCAGCCATCATGTAATTGTCACTTTTTTATTTTTATAAATAAATGTGATACAGATTTGATTTTTATCACTAGTTATTACTCAATAGAATTCGAGTATTGGACTTTCTGTTGAACAACAATGATTGTATCACTAAATCAAAATGCTTATTCGTCAAGTTATTGTCACTCTCAGTTGGAGCCACTAGCGGAACCACATCAACCCATGTGAGTCGGCTGCACCGCACCTTGACCTTGCAATGCAAGGCACAGAAGAAGAAAACGAGAGTACTAAACTTCCGGAGAGGATAAATCAAACTGTCAACCACATTCATCCGACAACATTTCCACCGTTGAGAGAATCTACATTTTAACATATGATTTATAACTTATATAGTAAGCAGTTAAACATAATTATGAAAACACAACGTGAATTATTATTGTAGAACATTAATGTAAATTATCATTACATGACGGAGCAGTAGGAATGGACGTTGTCTTCGCTGAAGAGGTGGACGGTTTGATCGGCGACGGTGGAATAGGCCGGGTCAGGGAAGTAGCCATGTACTGGTTCGTTGAAGCCATGGCTGTAGTAGTTGTGCGACGTCCGGTAATTCGATTCTTCCAAGTACGTGGCAGCATAAGGGTAGTACTCGCCGTCGTAAGGAAACGGCCAGAATTCGGCCCTCCTTCCCGTTCTCCTCACCACTTTCAGCACCTTCCGCTGCTCCACGTGGCCAGTCACCGTCACCTTCTGCTTCTCCATGTCGATCTCCAAGCTATCCACTCCTGCATATATGTATATGCAAATGCATGTCAGTATATTTGGTTTTGAGGAACGGAAATGTCAATTATGGTGGCAAAAGGAGAGTGGTGGATGGACGTGCCGCTCAGTTTGGAGATTGCTCTGCGGATCCGCTTCTGGCAGCCGTCGCAGTCCATGTGTACCCTTAGCTCCACAATCTGTTTTTAATATGGACAGTATTATAATTCAACGTCTTTTTTTATGCAGAAAAACACGATGATCGACAAGGGAAAGCGCGCATGCAGTCAGGAATGTGTATGCTACAGTACATAGCAGCAGCACTTACAGAGATTGCATTGGAGAGTTTGGACTCTCTGGATCTGAACATATATGGTACCAATAAACTGATGAAAGTGATCGATCCAAGAGGTAAGTGAACAAGGAAAGAAGAGGGGAGTAAGTAGTGATGATATATATCTAGCATCATGATGGTGATTGGTGAATAAGTTATGAGAATATGTTCTCTCGTCCCCTGCTTCCTATCTATGTCTGCCCATTTCTGTGTCCTAGTGTGTGTCCTTCTGGTTCCTGTAAATAAAGGCTACAGATATGTGGCTGTGGACTCAACCAAATTGGATGATTGGCAGAGAAACTTATCATTTACACGGAGGAATTTGATTATGGAATCCTCCAATATGCCACCATTGGCTTCACATATCACCGAATCGAATGCCAATATTCGTTGCTAAATAAGGGAGATATGTGTGTTTGCGTCTGTATAGGTCTGTTTATAATAAGTAGTTCATAATGCAAGTGGCAGCTGTTTCTTTTGGGCTCTTTTCCTGAACTAACCAGCGGCAGGGGCATATGAATCGAAGCATCTCTTCTCTGTGTTGCTCTGTTTTTGGAAACCAGGCAGTCACCGTCTGCCGTCCGCTTTTGTCAGCTGGATTTGGAACATATGTCAGGGAAAGGGTGTGCAAAATCAACCTGCCATTGGCTGGGCCAACTCAAACATGGGCTGGTTCCCAGAGTTGTTTTGAATATGGGCTTGGTATCAGAACGAAGATTAAATAATGGGCTGGGCCGTAGAGGTTCAACTTGGGATGCAGCTTTAGAAACAGATAGATGGGGATCCACGTCGGGTAAGCGTCATCAATGGATAGGGATCCCATTTCATTTCACAGGGAAAAAGAGGTTTTTGCCGCGAGTTTACCCACCCGACAACGTCCATGCAGTTACACACGACACGTGGCGAGCTGCCCGCGCTTCCGCTTGGGATTTCTCCAGACTCTTCTCTTCTCTTCTCGTCAATCTGTCAGCTTCTCGAATTTTCCCAACCGTTCGCCGACCTCCTCATTTATATGATTATATCCATCTCTCTTCGACCACCCTCTCTGCCGAGAGATTTCTTCGTCACCTTTCTCCACTTTGAAGCTAGCTCTCCATCCATTCGTTCAATTTCCAACGCGAGACTCATCAGAAAGAAATGGCTAGCCTGATGGATCATTTGTTCACCATCCCTGAGACCATGGAGAGGTTCATATTCCCCACCACTCCGACTCACTCCGGCAACCACAGAGGCGGTGGGGCCGCGGCGGAAGCATCTGCTCACATTCACGCCGACGTTCTCGACTGTCCGAAGGAGTACGTCTTCTACCTCGACGTCCCGGGCCTCTCCAAGTCAGATATCCAGGTATTATATGCAAAAAGACCAAAATTGAATCATTCTAATTGAGACTTGCCCTGCGATTTTACCCTGAAAGGTGGGAACTTTTGCTTTTTGACGGCAGGTGACGGTGGAAGACGAGAACACGCTGGTGATCAAGAGCAGCGCGAAGAGGAAGCGGGAGGAGGTGGACGGAGGCGTCGGCGAAGGAGAAGGCTGCAAGTACATCCGCCTGGAACGGCGGAGCCCTCAGAAGCTGATGCGGCGGTTCCGCCTCCCGGAGAACGCCAATGTCTCAGCCATCTCCGCCAAGTGCGAGAACGGAGTGCTGAGGGTTGTCGTCGAGAAGCATCCTCCGCCGCCCAAGCCCAAGTCCTTCCAAGTCGCCATCTCCTGAGACGAATCACCAATTTCACGTGGCTGCACTAGAGGAATAGTAGTAGTAACCAGTAGCTCTGTTTGCTCCTCTGTTTTTCCGCTCCAATGTTGAACGGCTTAAATTACGGTGTACAATCAACACTTGATATGTATAAAAAGTGTTCGAAATCAATCAATCAATCAATCGTCGTTTTCTGCTTCTTCTTTCGCGATTTTGGCTCCTTGCCTTTGCCTGGCTTCTTCTTCTCCTTGTTCGGAGTTCCATCATCGCCCGTTCAACAAATGTTCGTACTCTTCCATGCTTGCAAACGGGGGGAAGCGCCCTTGCCACCGCCGATTTTCCCCGGCCGTCGCCTTTTCTTCCTATCAACCGCCGCCACAGCCTCCTCTTCCTCATCGGCCTCTCCGACCTCGATGTCGCTGTCATCCTCTTTCCTCTCCATCGGCGACATCCGAGAGCGCTTCCATGTCAGCGTCGCTCACGTCACCCACCAATTCGTCTTCATCATCCCCGGCAGCTTGGAGGTAGATCAGCAGGATCTGCCTTGGTGTTCTCTTCCACAACATCCTCAAAATGTTCCTCTTCTTCATCCACGGCCTCGCTCTGAAGCTTGGCGTACAAGGAACGGTTGAAACGATCACTGATAGTAACATGAAAGCTTACCAACTGGAAGAGCATCGGTGTTTGGCCCTCAATGATGTCATCAGCCTCATTACTTGAAACATAAGGAAACGCCCTATTGACCCCCTGATGAGATTAGGAGAAAGGCAAGCATGAGTTGCAATCAGCATGGATTCGAAAAGAACAGTATAAATGTGGTCAACAAAAAGGCAGATAAACAAATGAGGGGAAAAAGAGAAGAAAAGCTGCTGGAAGTTGTCCACCTTCATACTCCGGTGATCAGAGAGCAAGTTTGTCAAGTAATACTCCGCGTTGGATGCACCCTTAGTTTGAGGATCACCTAGCTGTGCAAATAGTTGAAATTTCAATATAGTTAAATATATCCTACGTAAGAGAACCACAGGTACTGAAATTTAGAAGCTGTTTGAAATGAAAATGTTTATACTATTGAATTCTAGAACTCCAACTTAGAAGCTGTTTGAAATGCAATATGTCAAACTTTATAAAATGTTAGTCAATTCAAAACTCAGACTTACTTTGTTCACTAGTGATGAGAGCAATCGGCGCTCCTGCTCTGATTTCCTCTTCAGCAGCATATACATGCTCTGGGATTAAAGTCATCAAGGTCACAAACAAAGATATCGTGTTACCATATGATACATATCATTGATATATACATCAAAATCGATATGAATTATATATAGGCAAGCTGATATCGCAGTAGAGATGCAAATCCAGTTAAACAGCTCTTCAATGCTAATAACACTTGTACAGGAAGAGAACCGGGGAAAAGGTGCACATTGAAGAGGGAGACTGATCATATGCATTGAAATCCAGTGGAAATACCAACCTTCAAAGCCTTGTCTTTTAGTATGCGTAGCATATCTCTGGATGCGTCCTCAAGGGCCAGAGCAAAACGTTCATACCTAAGACGATGAGAAGGAGAGAAGTCAAGGTAAAGCTCACGAATTTCCGCTTAGCAAACAACGAGAGCATTATATATTACTTGATTAACAAAGAGGGAAGGGAAGAAGCCCACTTCTGTCTTAGGCAATCCTCCCAATACCAAAAGAGAAGGGAATAACCATCTTTTGTCTGGGGAAGATCATTAAGAGGCCTCTGCAAGAGTGTCTTCAGCTTAAGATCAGGAAGCAACGGTAGTTAGAACCTTCAGATCACCGGAGGCCACTTCCTGGCCACTTAACAGCCTTTACAATTGCTTCCCACAGGAGGCCAGCAGCTTCAATCACCGGAACTCTGGACTTGGCAATGAGCCCACTTATTTCATCAGCAACGGTAGTTAGAACCTTCAGATCCAAATCCCTCAACAAATCAGAAAAACCAGCCTCCAACTCCTTCAAATCTGCCTCTTTCTGTTGTCGTTCCAGGTAGAGGACAATTTGGTCGATTCCTTCCTCCCTCATATATGCAATGAGGTCGTTTAAGCTCTGGTTTCCGGTTGGAAGGAAACTCACCATGCTTGTTTCTCCACCAAACAGAGTCAAGATGTCCTGCAGCCCATCTTCCTTCTCTTTCAGAAAGAATTTAGAGAAGTTTACCACGAAATGTATTGCTAACCCACTCTTGAGTAAACAATCAGTGAACAGAGCCTGAAGTAGAGGCTTGCCAACAATACCAGGCATTTTCACTGATAATGCCTTAGCAAGGAACATAGCGAGTTTCACCCTCTCTGGCTGTCCGCGAACAGCTAGAGAGGCGATGAGCCTTTTCATCACATCCTGAAGGCGAGCTCTCAAGGCTGGGCGAAGATGAAGTAGCTTCTTTAACAATGTTACCCATGCCTGAATGCTCACCTCGGTGGAATCTCCCGAGAAAATGGCATATAAGTTCCTTCCTCCTCCCTCAACAGGAACCATGGAGCGAGACTGGACAGAGGAGCCAAGGAAAACTACTTAGATCACTTCTCTCTAAGCTCTTAGAGAGCACTGCAAAGTCCCCGCCACTCTCGTTCAAAACCCTCAGAAGGGATTCTGAAAAGGCTCCAGGATCAAGGGTATTCATCTGGTGCTTCTTCATACTCTGGCTGAGAGATTTTGCACTCATGATTGTTATTGCAGGATTGCTACTTCTCGAACGGAATTGAACCGGGAATCGGAAATCGGAAGAAGCGTTTACTGGTTGTCTGGGTCTGGACGGAATTGGAAGGATGAAGAAGAACACTCGAGTGGAGACTGCAGAGCGAGCAAGAAGAGGGCAGAACAGAATTTCCCACGGTGGGCGCCAATTGTTTGTGCCATCTAGCTCAGGACACGAACAATGATATTTGTTGGTGTGGGTCGACTCATCATCCGTTCGTCCGATCTCGTCGGGAGGGAGAGAACCTGTGAAAGAGCCGGGGTTGCCCCCCGGATTAAGCTCCGGCGATCAAGTCAGTTTATGTTTAAGGTGAAGAGAGTTGAGAGAATAGATAGAGAGATAAAGTGTCGGGAGATAGTAGAGAGTGGAAAGTGAGGAGAGAGAGAAGAAGTCCCCTTCCTTGGTGGGTTTCATACCTTTATATACTCGTAGCGGGTTTAGAGCGTCATACGTTGTCGATTGGGCGCAGTATTACTTAGTCTCTGCGGGGAGTCTCTTAGCAACACCCCCAACAATTGCCCCCCAAGCTGGTGGTGAGTTTTAACTCATCACTAGCTTATATTTTATTTTTTAAATCTTCGTCGGTAATTTTGGGTGGGGCCGTATGTACCCCAGTTGCCCCCCAGTTGGTGGCGCGTTTGACTGACGCGGTGCCAGATTCTTGCGTCTTGCCCCCCATTAGCGACATTAGCGCTCATGAAAATAAAATATTTCAATATTTAATAATGATAGAGGGATAGAGTACTTAGCGTTAAATTGGAGAGGCGGCAGGATACCGATTAATTGGAATGCGCCGCACTATTTTGGCACAAGGCGCGTATGTAGCCTACTGGTATTGTTGCTTGTCACGCGGAGGAGTGACGCGAGTTCGGAACCCTCGCGGCGACAACAATTCTTTTTTTTGAAGCGAAGCGAAGCTTGGACTTGGCGGGCCGGGGAACTCAAGCGAGCTAATGGGCCGCGAGTTGGAGATGATCGCGGGCTTGGACTTGGCGGGCCGTGGAACGCGAGCGAGCTAGTGGGCCGCGAACTTGGAGTTGGACCTCGGGGCTTCGTTGCGCCGAGGTGGTGGCTGATCGACGAGTTCATAGCGCGCGGGCTATAACCGCGAGTGGGCTTGGCGGGCCGGGGAACGCTAGCGAGCTAGTGGTGGCTGACCCACGGGATGGATGATGGCTGACGCGCGGAAAGAGGAGCGAGCGAGCTTGCGGATCGCGAGTTGAGGGTACGAGCGGGCTTGACCTCGCGGCCCGGGAGATATGAGTGATTAGTTTTGACTTGAAGAGGCGGCGGAAAGGTTTGTTGAAATAGGGTTGTCGCGTAAATGTTCACAACTCGACTTGTAGACTGCTGGTCAGTGTGCTTGAATGTTGAATGAGTGGCGCAGGCTCGAATCCTGGTGGCTTCAACAATTTTTTTGAAGACTCTAGTTGGTGGGCTTGAAGGGTGATGACGCGAGCTTAATGAACATGGGCCTTAAGTTGTGTGGGAGTGGGCCGCGAGGCAGGCTGGGTAGGGCGGCGGACACTTGGCGGCTGGCTGGGTAGGGCGGAGATAATGCGCGGACTCTGATATGTAGATATAATGAATTTTTTTTTCCAACTGAGTGGGCGCGAATAGTGCATGATTATTGCTATTTTTTGTCCTTTCGAACTGAGTGGGCGCGAATAGTTCATGACTATTGCTATTTTTTGTTCTTTCGAACTGAGTGGGCGCGAATAGTGCGTGACTATTGCTATTTTTTGTTCTTTCGAACTGAGTGGGCGCGAATAGTTCATGACTATTGCTATTTTTTGTTCTTTCGAACTGAGTGGGCGCGAATAGTGCGTGACAATTGCTATTTTTTGTTCTTTCGAACTGAGTGGGCGCGAACAGTGCTTGACTATTGATATTTTTTGTTCTTTCGAACTGAGTGGGCGCGAATAGTGCATGACTATTGCTATTTTTTGTTTTTTTGAACTGAGTGGGCGCGAATAGTTCATGACTATTGCTATTTTTTGTTCTTTCGAACTGAGTGAGCGCGAATAGTGCATGACTATTGCTTTTTTTTTTAATGTTATTCTGATTACAAAATCCTCCACATATCAGGCCAATGAAGATTTCCCATCATAAGTCATAACTGAGGTATATGTTCATAGCTACGTGCTCTCAATTCTATACACGAACCAGCCTTAGAACCGAGCCCAGCAGCGTGTGCACTGCGCTATACAGTCCCCCTTACAATCAACATTATACCCCAACACTTTCGGATTCCTCAGCAACACAGTCCTTAGTGATTTCCCTTTAATCGCCCCCACCTTTTCAAGGATCATCACTTCTGGGAACTTCTTCAGCACCTTCAAGAGATCATCGTCCGATAGCCCGAAAGACCTCAAATAATCCAACATACCAAGTACTACTTCGAATCTTGGGACCTATTACTTTCGCTCTTCCCCCCAGTATGGCGGTGGCATGTGACCGAATGCTTTCCCGAGCATCTTATCTTTCT